AAAATCTGTTTATCACCCGGTGCAGATGGTCATGGAGGGAGGTGATTGGCTGGTAGGTGGTGACCTAGAGGTGCTGGAAAGAATCCAGTGGAACGATGGACTTGACCAGTACCGCCTCACTCCACAGGAGCTCAAGCAGAAGTTCAAAGACATGGAAGCAGGTTAGAAACACTTAAAAAACTCAAATCACAGAACTACCGCAGCAATCAGGGAACACGCAACGGCATACAATGTGTTAAGATAATGATGTGATATTTTTTATAGTATGACGTACTTAAAACATCTGTTACAGCTTTGAAGGGAAATGAATAAACATGAAAGCAATGCACCATTTACCTTTCGGAAGAACTTGACAAGAGAAAAAAGTAAAACTGTAAACTTTTAAAGCTGGACGGTGATGTTCTGTGTTCAATGATCAGTGAAGACGTGCAGTATCTTTCTGAAAAGTAAAGTACAATTAAAGGTGATCAGCGTTTTTTAACACCAGCTCACTGTGATGTAAAGGCCGTGTTCAGGATTGTGTCACAACACTGGTCGCTGTTGCTGGTACGAGCATGTTGAGACGTGCACTCAACAAAATTTGTGTTGAATTCATTTCTGAATAACCTGTATTAGGTTTTGCAATGCAACACTTCAAATGCTTCTTAGTGAAATCAATTTACTGTGGGCTTTTGGTCAATAAATAAATATTGAACAATTAAAAGAAACTATATACATTTTTCTATGGAAATATATAAAACAAAAACTGATGTGAATGGTAGTTTGAGCATGTTTTATGGTGACAGGCTAGTGAAATCCACACTATTCTTCACATATTTTCAAACCCCACAGAATAGAAGCTCAACACCACCCAGTTGTTCTGCTGCTGTAACACTGCGTTGCTGCTGCTGTTGTGGTTAATACAAACTCTTTCTGGTCTCCTTTAGACGCAGTGTTTGCATTCCAGCTGCGTAACCCGGTCCACAATGGTCACGCCCTACTGATGCAGGACACCAAGCGCCGTCTGCTGGAGCGGGGCTACAAGAATCCCGTCCTCCTGCTGCACCCACTGGGCGGCTGGACCAAAGACGACGACGTGCCTCTGGACTGGCGAATGAAGCAGCACGCCGCGGTCCTGGAAGAGGGCGTCCTGGAGCCAGCGAGCACCATTGTTGCCATCTTTCCTTCTCCGATGATGTACGCTGGACCCACAGAGGTGAGTGGGGACTTATTACTTATTCAGCGGTTTCTAGCACTCTTCCTACTGTTTATCCATTTCCTTGGGATATGGACGCGTGATCAGGTATCAACATACGGCGTGTCTTCCAATGACTCGCCAGGTTCAGTGGCACTGCAGAGCCAGGATGATCGCCGGAGCAAACTTCTACATCGTTGGCAGGGACCCCGCAGGAATGCCTCACCCGGAGACTAAGCAGGACCTGTATGAGCCCACCCACGGGGCCAAGGTCCTCACCATGGCGCCGGGCCTCACCTCTGTGGAGATCATCCCGTTCAGGGTCGCCGCCTACAACAAGGTTAAGAAGGCCATGGACTTTTATGAAGCAGAGCGGTGAGTGAAGCAAAAGGGTCCTTCTTTGTAAATGTTTTTTAATGTAAAACTTGATGTAATGTAAAAGTGTAATAGTGCTGCAGTAAACTAGAGCTAAAAATAAATCAAAATTGCTGTAGATATCTGATAAAAATGATTCAACCTTTCAAGCTAGAGCATGATTTTTATGGAAACAAATCTGTGACACAATCTGTGTTGTTTGCACACCAATAGATTATAGTGTACATTTTTAGAATTCCTACTAAATTCTATTCACCTTTCTGAGCAGGTGTAATAATGACCTCATCATGTGATTTGTAAATATTATAATAATATTTCCAATAACTTGTCCTGCCCACCCTCTCCACACTGTCCTTCCCTCCTCCCTCACTCTCTCAGACATGCTGAGTTTGAGTTCATCTCTGGAACCAAGATGAGGAACATGGCTCGGAGTGGAGAAAACCCTCCAGATGGTTTCATGGCCCCCAAGGCCTGGAAGGTTTTGGTGGAGTACTACACCTCTCTGCAGAAGGACAAGTAGCCAACACAGCGCTGAGCTGACCAGGGAAAACCATCGGTTCTTGAAGGAGGGTAAAAATACAACCATCTCCATAGGGGTATTTAGATAGATTTGTGTTTTATTCTATCCAAAAATACGTAGATAAACTGTTTAGATTTTTATAAATAATCAGTAATTGCTATAAATAATCAGTTCCTGTTTCATCACTATATCGAAATCACTGGTCTTAAGAAGGTAAAGCATTACATTGGTACATTGGTATGTCTGTAAAACATATAAACCATCGTAAATGCATATTAACTATTTAAAAAAATTAAAGGTATATTGAGATTATTATTAGTTTTATTCTGTAATTTGGGAGCATATGCCAAGACTGGGAAATCATGATATTTATATGTAGTAGCTATGGGATGTAGGTTCAAAACAAGAACCCTTTTTATACAGTTTTTATGCAAATTATATCACTGTCTGTTGAATTGTGTATGAGCTAAATTAAAGTTACCTGCAGTTGTATCACTACCTACGGTGCCCTTTGGGGTATTATTTTTACATCTAATCTATGGACGTTCATTAACTTATCCTGTTAATGTTTCATATTTTTATGAAATGCAACATAGGTTTTTAACTAATGTGAAAGTGCATTTATCTCAAATGTTAAAACTATATAACAGAAATTGTTTCAATTTCTCATTGGCATTCACGCTGAAATGTCTATTTGACTTGTGTGATTTCATAAATTGCAATTATGTAATAAATACCCACAGTTTTTGGGACTTATGCAATAATAAAGAATCTCCTTTGTTATTATGAATACCTCGTGACTGTTTGATCCTGTGTACTCATCTAAACAATATGCCTTTTAATGGAATGAAATGTCCTGATTTGTCTTTGCGGCGCACCCTTTTTAAAGTATCTCTGTTCAAAGTGCATCACTATCAATTGAAGGGTAAAGGTCGAAGTCGATTGTGCATTGGGGCATTCTGGAACTTCGGAGCTAAAAGAGCAGTGCTGCCATCTGCCGGCGAGAGGTGGTGAAAGAAAAAACTGCTAAAACACAAGTAGCTCAATGGCATGCAGAATGGCACAGTCATCACTGTTTCTCTGACAGGAGGTGGGCTTGGTACCAGCTCTCATCCCGATAACTTCTCCCACTGACATCAGACACAAAGACATCAGACACAAAGACAGTCCTGTGTTTCCACCTGTTGTCTGTAACCGGTCTGTTAAACAGAAGGTGAACTGGGAAAGGCAGCAGTCACAGTTGAGATGTTCTTTAAAACGGTTTAAAATATTCATGCACATTTGTTTGAATTGTAAAATACAGTTGTTTGGCTCTGGATTGGCTTTTTCCAGACAGCTCATTTATAACAGCTTAAGGAGATCCTGAGACGCTTTTAAATTACACTGAAGAGACGGTTGAGTGAACTTGAAGGACTGATTAATATCGCCATTCTGTCATTAAGCTGTTAGGGCTTACATTGCTACGAAAGGAGTGTTCATCTTTGAGGAGAACCAGCATCCCTCAAATGACGCAGATTATTAGCCTCGCATGGGATCAGATCATTTAATAAGAGACGTTCCAGGTAACTACATTTAAATCGGCTGACTTGCAATCTCACTAATTTATGAAATCTCCAACTACTGTACATCCAACATGTCATCTCACGAAGACATGAGCAGGACGGCTATTGGAGTAAATCTCTCGTGTCCAACAGGATGAATATTTATGGTGTAGGTTAACCCCTTTCTAACACACAAAAATGTATCACTGGCATGACGGTTCATTTGTGAGGTATGGAGCTAATTCAAATGTGAAAATATCAGTTAGTGTTGAAAAATCATGCCACCCAGTTGTGTGAACACAAATTGATGGGGCCTCCTGACACGTAGGCTGTTTGAACACAGCTAATTAAGTGAGATTGTGCCCCAGTTGTTTTTGCATTAACATGAAGGTTATGAAATTGACCTCATGCTTTGGTTTGTGTTGTTTGGCTTTAGCAGGAATGGGCCTCCTGACTTCTGAAAGGCAGGACACAAAACGGTGTTTGTGGCTGCAGTGTAATTACATCTGAGCTGCAGCTAACAATACTTTAGTTGTCGAGTAATCTGCCAGTTGCTTTTCCAATCAATCAAGTAATCATTTTTTGATAACATGTAAGAAAGTAGGAGAAAATCCCAGCACAATTTCAAGAGTTGAAACTGATGTCTTCACTGTAGTCCAAAACCGAAATTATTCAATTTACTCATTTACTCATTAAGGAATAAGAAAACCAATTTACGTTTAGGCAAATACAACCAGGGAATTTTTGGCAATCAAAATGCTTGTTTGCTTTGCTTTAATTGTGTTACTATTATTGTTAATAATAGTATAATATATATATAATAAATATATCTATAATACATCATCAATTGAGATAATGAAATTAGCCTGGTACTGTATTTATAATTTTATTATGTATAATTTAAAAATATATCTGTAAGTGAATATCAATGAAAAGACGTTACTCTGATTTAGAATCGTTAGGAGGAGATTGTATAAAGAGGTACTGGAAAGTATATATATTTTATACGTAACTATAAACGAAAATAAATATCAGGTAGATTGATATGTCAAAGGGATATGTTTTCTATGGCCTGAAATGACAGTTTAAACCGCGACAAGTGACATTATGTTTGAAACTTCCCTAATTACAGTCACACGTGATCACTTTGACAGAAGGGAGCGTCGCATGCCGACTCACTTTATCCTTCCGCTACAAGCGTGAAATAACTCGACTGTTGCGTTTTTATAAATGTTAAAAACAATTTATTTTTAGGGTAGTTTCTATTCAGCATCTAATAAGAAATATTGAAACACAATGAGAGAATGCTGCGTCGGCTGCTTTTATTTTAAACTGTGGAACTATACAGTGTAGGCGGTGTGATATTTGTTCTAAAATCCCAGCCTGCTCTACCTTCTTTTTTTCCTTCGGTGGAGGCCATGATGGGAGCCTGAGAGTTCAGCTGGAGCGAAAGGAGCAAGAAAAGAAAATGATTCCCCGGGACGGAACTGTCAAACCAATCTGCAGATATCTAAGCTTTTGTATAGTTTAAGTACATTTAAGGTGGAGCCTGTCACTTTTCCTCAGATGTGTTCTTGGCAATCAGTCGATGACGATGTTGAATCGTTAGGAGGCTTTTGCATCGAAAAAGGAGGCAGCGTTAGCTTTTGTTGCTAGCTGGCTGCGCTAGCTATCTCGTCAGCTAGCGAGCTAGCGACGTCCGAGTGACTGGATACGGGTTTCGGGAACCGGTGAGTTCTCTTATCCTCTCGCTGTCAATCGCGGTGGCTGCGATTGAATCATCGGCTTGGACCGCGTCTGGCATCTGAAGGACAACTGCATGTATTTTATTCGGGAGCGTTTGCTAGACGAGTTGCAGGTTTGGCAGAGTCGGGCCTGCACGGAGAAGCGGAGCGAGGCCCGTCTTTATGATCCAGAGGAAGCCTTTCTAATCCCACCGACGACCGCCGCCGCCGCCGCTAGCTCTGCTGGCTCGCACTTCTCTTGCGAGGACCTGCGGAACCCAGAGAGCAGCAGGCGACCGAGAGCCGACCCGCTGACTGCGACGGACACGACCGGCCAGCGAATCCTCGAAAAACCTGTTTTCATCATTTACCGCTGATAGACTCCTGTCACCTGCTACAATGGCTGCGATTATAAAAGAAATGGTCAGCCGGAACAAAAGGAGATATCAAGAGGACGGCTTCGACCTGGACTTAACATGTATCCTTCCCACTGTTTTTGGCATCCCCGCAGCATCCCGATCGCTGACCGGTAACGTGTTAACATTTGCAGTTGAGTAGCCGAAGTGGAGGCAGAAATGCCAGTGGGGTAGCGTGAGGCAGTTAGCTTCGCTGCTACTCTGCTAGCTTGCTAGTCGACCAGACAGCGCAGCTTCGCTGTCACCCCAGCGTGTTTGAAAGATGGTGGATCTGTCAAACCAGCACGCGCAATTGTCACAGTCGTGTTTTATAGCTGGAAAGCATCGTTCAACTGGACATAAGTGTGGTTTCAAAAAAAAAAAAAAACGGGAGAAAAAAATCGACAGGGCTTTTTACTTGACGTTACACAGCAGTCAGCCAGCGGTGGATCGAGGTTGTGAAATTGGCATTTTAGTCCCTTTTGAAAAAAAACAGCTTAAAGGCAGGTTGTTTTTTATGGGGGGCTGGTTAATAATATTTCTCTTGGTATTTTATTAGTATTTACTTTTTTAGTACATGTAGATAACTGTCGTTATGTGGTAGGCTTATGACGCAAATGGCTGAAAGGCTTCCTTGCTCACCTTTCCTTTATCTCCACTGTGTCCTCGCGGTCTTAAGTATTCATTGATGGATTTCGACAAATCTTTTTGAAAGATCTAATTAACATCTTCCTTCCTTTTCCCGGCGATAGTCATTTCCAGCTTCGTGAATAGCTATTTCAGGCCCCTCTGCAGGACTGGTTTCTCAAGTATTACCACAGATAGTAGTTGACCTGGTTCGCTGGTGCTGAAGATGGTGCTTTTCATGTTCTGGCTGGTCATGAACTAATGGACGAGCAACTGATTTAGTCAAATAAATGCAGCGTCTAATGTGTGACAGTACTGGGCTTTGATCAGATTTGATGAACAGTTGACTTTGTATTGGGATAAAATTGTATTGGGCCTTTCGAGTCCTGAATTTGATATTTATGGTTGTAAAGATAAAAACAATTGCGCAAACAATAGATTAGTTGATTTTGAAATGTTTTTTTATGGCTGAAACGGTTTTGGCTCCGGCATCTCATGTGAACATGAAATTGATTTTATCTTTGTTTGTAACCACTGCTCAGACAAAACAAGACACGTGAATATGTCAGCCTTTTCTCTGGGAGACTGTGATTTCCTTCCCTATTTCCTTGATGCTTTGTACATCAAATGATGAATTGGCAAATCAAAGATAGAGTTGGGGAGTGGAAAGTATTTGGCAGAACAATCCAACTGATTCATAGTTGCAGGTGTATCTGGTAAAGAATACACTTGATGGTATTCATCCGTACGTTTCCTCTGGCTATCCTCAGTGTTGTTGCGTTACCTTAAACACTGCGGAGTAGCGTTGTAATGTAAATGTAAAGCCAGGTGCTAAATGCGGCCGCTGGGATGTATGTGAGACAGCGGATGATGAAACCTTCGCCTCGTCACATTTGAACAGATGTTTCCCAACTGTTGTGTTGTTTTTTTTTGTAATGAGGTAAAACTTGCCGTGACACTAAAGCTGCCTCCTAGAGACGTGTGATGGGAGCTCGCCCCCTCAAAGGGGCTTTCTTTCTTTTTCACTTGAGGTCCTCGCTTGTTTAGATGTGGGCCCTTTTTCTAACCATCCCGCTTATCATTTTTGGCACGTTGTCTAAAAACAATATGGGTTCTCTGGAGTTATGTAATGCAGTATCACAGTTCTGGGAATTGCCCTTAAAATAGAGTTGCCGGTGATCTTGTATCAGCGTTGCTTTCTGAGTGCTCTCTCTCTCTCCCCCCCACCTCCCCTCTGCTCTTTTTCCTTACCACTCCCACTCTAACGCTCCCTCCCTCTGCTTTGCCCCCTTTCCTCTGCTCTCCTCCTTTCCTGTCCTCCCCCACCCCTCTCCTCTCCTCGCCCCACGTTAGCCGGTTCCCACTCTCCCCCCCCTCTTTCTCTTCCTCTCGGTTGTGGATTTGGCGTATGCATGGAGCCGAGGCAGTGCTGGCTTTAAAGAAAAGGCGTGCCTGAAACGGTAGATCTTTCTTTTTCTCCCCTCCTGCTTGGGGGCTTCCGTCGGGGTCCCGTATGTGCATTTCCTTCCAGCTGCAGAGACCGAGCCCCTCCCCCTGGGCTGAGGCTCTCCTGGGAGCTCTGGCGCTTTTTAAAAACCCTCAGAATAGACTTGAGATTACTTTGCCGGTGGCTCCAAGGGTTAGATAGCCCATCAGATGACAGAAAAGCTGCGTTTGGCCCCCAATTAGGTCTTTGAAGCATTAATGGACGGGATTATGGAACAGCACGTATACACTCCGTCCCTGTAGCTTTCTATTGTAGTATACATGTCAGTAGCTTGGCAGTGTGCAAATAAAAACATACATTTGCTTTTGGGATTGTTTAATTCATCCCACGGCTGCATAATGCTGCGTTTGGGGTAGTAAATGTATTCCTCTCTGAGGGCTGTATTCAAGGCTAAGTTCTGAGATCCATTTTGTTTTTACCCCATGCTAAAGAATATGACAATTTCTCCATCATGAACAGGGTTATTTTAGTCTGTTTCTGCAGGTACTTGAATGTGTGCACACCAACTAAGCCGGAGTCTGTCAGGCGCCCGTGTCAAATCTTTCTGACCAGTTAAAAAGTGATTTGCCTCGGCGAAAGTAAGGCCTGTTCAAAGATGAACCTGCCACATCCAATAAGAAATATTCTGCTTTTCTATTTTTGACACTGTCGCAGAAAGTGTAAAGGTTGTCTTTTAGTCTGCGGTTTAAGTGTGAAATGGCGTCTTGCAGATAGGCGGACAGGTAGGCGGTGCGGGCTTCAACGACATGCGAGCCAACTCGATCATCTTTTATCTCCAACATGACACTGATGTGTGCCTTTTTAAAAAAAAAAAATTTTTATATATATAATTTATTTGAGTATAAATGGTCACAACATTTCCCTCCTCATATTACGCGTTGCGGTGTGCAGCCCTGTCTGATGGTGTAGCAGGAGCGAGTCAAAGGCCAAATGTGGTTTCTACTTTGATGAATAAGCATTTCCTACCCGCTGTGGCCCGCGTGCGATCCCGGGCAGATGTTTAAATTGTTGTCGGCCGAGATCGAAAGACCGATAAGCCGAACGTTTGTGATTCTACCGATATATAACTTTGGGCTCCAAAAATAAATGCGGGTCAGAGCCCGGAGGGTCTCCTCGTGCAGCCACATGTGGGGCCGGGCTCGTAAAAGAGCGCTGCTACGCCCGTCCCCGCCGCCTCACTGTCAAGGCCATCTGTCACGACACACACACATACACACTGATCAGAGCCCCGCCTCCGCTCCCATCTATCCGTAGCTACAGTCACACCCTCGTATTGACATTGGCTGTTACTTTTTAACGCTCTGCTGCATTCTTGTCATTTCGCTCTCACGGCAAATTCTTTCGCAACTTCTGTAGAGTAAAAAACTGTATTTCATTCCTAGTCTTATCGCGTAGCTGTTTGAAGGCACAGGCAGACTTACTTCTTCAGGTGGCTGCCTTTGCGCCAACTTTTCTGATTCTCCCGGGCGTGCACGATGTATGGTTCCTTGACCCCCCCCCCCCCGCTCTTAACAGATATCTACCCAAACATCATTGCCATGGGCTTTCCAGCAGAGCGACTCGAAGGCGTGTACAGAAACAATATAGACGATGTAGTGCGGTGAGTTTGTGACGTGATCCTATAAAATATTTCAGTCTATTTTGCACCGGCAGTTGATCTCATGAATGTCTGTTATCTCTTAAACAGGTTTTTGGATTCGAAACATAAAAACCATTACAAAATCTACAACCTGTAAGTGATCCACAATTCTTGGTTTTGTTTACTTTACGGCGTCTTCTCCGCGTGTGCTAACCGAACCACGTTTGTCCCATTTCAGTTGTGCAGAAAGACACTACGACGCTGCCAAATTTAACTGCAGAGGTATGCTGCTTTAATGTATTCTATAGACGCTTTCCTTAAAAAGCCTTGTGACACACAGGGTTGACCTCTGACCTGTCTGCTCTGTGTCCACCTCTCCTTTCTTCTCTTCCTACAATGTCCCGCTGCGCATCAGTTGCACAGTACCCCTTCGAAGACCACAACCCTCCTCAGCTGGAGCTCATCAAACCGTTTTGTGAAGACCTGGACCAGTGGCTCAGCGAGGACGACAATCACGTGGCCGCCATCCACTGTAAGGCCGGCAAGGGCCGCACTGGGGTCATGATCTGCGCCTATCTCCTCCACCGCGGGAAATTCCAGAAGCCCCAAGAAGCGCTGGACTTTTATGGAGAGGTCCGGACGAGGGACAAAAAGGTGGGACGTTAATCTGAGACCACGCGGCTTTTCAGCCTCGGATTGATCGCTGCCAGTAGAACAATTAGTGTGCATGTTCTAAAATAATGATATTAACATGTTCAACATCTAGAGCTATTCGTTTTCCTTTTTGTAGCCTTCCTCCACCTGTAACAGTTTGTCCCTGTTGTTGCAGGGCGTAACGATCCCGAGCCAGCGGCGCTACGTCTGCTATTACAGTCACCTCCTCAAGCGCCAGCTCGACTACAAGCCGGTGGCGCTCCTCTTCCACAAAATGGTGTTCGAGACCCTCCCCATGTTCAGCGGGGGCACCTGCAGTGAGTCGCGCTCATGTTTAACTTTTCCTCCCTACCCCGGGGCACGCCGTCCAATCGCAGCCAGGGCATCGCATGTGTCCTGCACCGTGGGACACACCCACGGGACACATCGCCGACAGTAGCCGCAGTGTATTTAAAACTCAAGTCCAGTGTTAAGCGTCCTCACCAGGGTTGTCTTCTAAGACGTTCTGCTTTTATTCGCCCGTTTTCTGCTGTGTAATACTTTTCTGTGCACAGTATTGAGAGGAATTCCGATATTCGCTGTCTGAGCACGGCAGAGCACTCTGTGTCCTGCACGAGGGAACTTAACCGTGCACGTTCAGTACACTGAAAAGCCAGACAGGTTATATGGGCGTCAGTCGCACACAAGCAGGAAGCCCGTGAAGCAATACAATATTCTGGCCTGCGTTCCTGATTTCACACACAGGTGTTCAGAAGTCACTGTAGTTGCTCTCTGTCGCTCAAACAGGTGAAGTTTTAGCTTCCCACATTGGACTTATCGATATAAAGCGACGTTTTCCCCACAGACATTTCAAGCAGATACAATTTTTTTTTTTTTTTCTTTATTGTGCATGACCGTATTTTTCATGTTGTGTGTTCCTTTCTAATGGGTGTGATGGTTCTCTATAATGTCTTATCTCAATTTCTCCACTGGCAGCTGTCCTTTTAGAAAAATCTCCTGCTTACTTATATTTCTGTGCTGGTCCCCCCCCCCCCCCACTAACAGCTGACTGCATCAATCTTTTCTCCTAACACTCCTTCTATAAAAAAAGAAACGGCCCTATTCTGAGTTTGAAATCTTAAAACCCGAGCACACAAATCAAGCGTTCCTTGCTCACTGCAGCAGGAGATGAGCAGCTAATTTGAGAATTCAAACTCAACCCTACTCAATGTTGCATATTTGTACCAAAGACTACTGACGTTCTGTGGTCAGCCATCTGAGACCTTCCCTCCCGCTCTGTAGCCGCGTGCCGCCTGTCGTGATGAGAAGTTACGTGGATGCACATACCTGTAAATGTTTGTGTGGCGCTCCTGTGTTTGTGCCTGCTGTGTGGCCCGGCCCCTTTCCGGTCCAGCCAAGTCCTGTTATAATAACAATCTCCTTCTTTCTCTCTTAAGGGGACAGTACCGTTAAAAACAGGAGCGAGCCGATCCCTCAGGGCTTCAAGAAAGGGAATTGGCATTGGGGTAAATGAGCCTTTCATCCATTATTACCATTTCACTCATTTTGCTTTTATATGGCCCCAGAGATCCAGCAGGCGGGACCAGCCCGAGGTAGTTCTGTTGCCCCGGGCAGGGCGGGACTAGTTTTATGTGGAGTCCCCTCCGACCTGACATAAAGATCCTCCATGTAAAAGACCAAACAGGGACTTTTTATCAGAATAGGGTCGTATGTCTCTGGTTCTGGGTCTCTTTGGGTGGTACGTACTGTGCTCTTTCCCCTCCTTGGTGTGAGCATGTTTTGCACTCAGAGGGGAGAGGTGGTGGTGATGGTGGTCGTCTTTTTCTCTTTTTTAAATTTTTTTTTATCATCCATCTCATTTAATAACACCGGTATCCTGTCTTGCTCCCCTGACACTCACTGTATTCTGACCCGCTTTCCCACACAAATCTTTCCGTCTTGCCCTCCTCTGGTGCAACGTTCACTCTTTCTTCTTTGCAGATCCCCAGTTTGTGGTCTACCAACTAAAGGTGAAGATTCACACGTCCAACCCGGCTCACACACGTCGCGAGGACAAGCACATGTTTTTTGAATTCCCGCAGCCGCTGCCAGTATGCGGGGATATCAAAGTGGAGTTCTTCCATAAACAAAATAAGATGATGAAGAAGGTTCGTTGTGTCTGTAATTAATTTCTTGTTTCTTTGATCAGGAGCTTATTTCTTATAATAAAGTATCAACAATTATTTTTATTATTTTAAGTAAGGCTGCCACCGTTCTGGGTTTTTAAGTTTTACACAAAAAAACTAACCTAAATGCCATTTTTTTTTGTTGTTGTAAAAGTGTCTTCGTGCCATTAGACATCTTGTGTTGAAAACGGGTTGACACTGATTACAAATGGCACAGCACTGTAGATCATTTTTGAGTCGATAAATAATGAATTAATCCACCCTTGAAAGTAACAAATGCTTGGTTCACTTGTGTTTGATTAACGACGACTAAAAGCAACGGCTGCTGAAAGCTCAGTAATGAAATGTGTCACAAGAAAGATTTGCGTCTTGAGTAGAAACAAATGGTCCAAAGTTGAACGAGAGACGGGATGGGGAAGTTCAGAAGTGTAGTAAAAGCGTATTTGCTAACCGTTTATGTTCAGATTGGTTAATGGTGAGGTGATTACAGAAGATAGCCAGCAGTAATGAAAAGTTCTTCTCATGACGTCTCCTCTCACGTCTGTCGCGTAGGATAAAATGTTTCACTTCTGGGTGAACACCTTCTTCATCCCCGGACCGGAGGAGAGCGGGGACAAGATGGAGAACGGGGCGGTGAACAACGCGGACGGCCAGCAGGGCGAACCGGCAGCGGGCCAGCCGCACAGCGCCGAGAGCCGGGACGGCAGCAGGGACGGCGACCGGGACTACCTCATCCTGACGCTCACCAAGAACGACCTGGACAAGGCCAATAAAGACAAGGCCAACCGCTACTTCTCGCCAAACTTCAAGGTGAGGGATTCGTTTTGGATGTTCGCTTTGGTAAATCGCAGCGAAGAGAGATGGCGAGACCCGTTTGTTTTGGTGGTGTTGTTGTTTTTTTGTTGCTTTTATTGCAAAGGCTGAAGTCTGTTTCTGTTTTGCTGTTCCAGGTAAACTTGTATTTTACGAAAACCGTGGAGGAGCCTTCGAATTCTGAGGCAAGCACTTCGACATCCGGCACCCCGGACGTTAGCGACAATGAGCCAGACCATTATCGATACTCTGACACCACTGACTCTGATCCGGAAAATGAACCTTTTGATGAAGAGCAGCACACGCAAATCACAAAAGTGTGAACTCTTTTTAAACAGGAAAAGAAGAAATTATACACCAGAAAAAAAGGAGAAAACTTGAATATAAACTCAAAAGAAGAACCTTTGTCCCTTCCCTCCCCCAGACGGCAATAGAATCCATCATGTCAAATGCCAATTTTAGGGAAAAAAAAGATAAATATCCTGACCAATATATTGTTTTTTTTATTTTTCTTTTTTTTTCTTTTGGCACGGCCATGTACCATGTGCAAGGTATTGACACTGTTGCCCCATGGGAAAAGGTGCTGTAGCTATAAACATGTTTCTATATATCTATATACATATGTGTATGTATATACATATATACATGCATATATAAAACTTTTTTTGTGTCAAAGACAATGGAAACCACAATCAGGAGACGGGAGTTGAAGTGTGGGAGAAGAATGATCTACTAGGACTATGCTGCTCCTTCTCCTGTCTAAACCAAGGCCAGTGCTGCAGTCACTTTGTTTCACTCCCTCTCTTCTCCTCCTCCTCCTTCTCCTCTTCCTCATCTTTTACGCTCCCTCCCCTCCATCTAACCCTCCTTCCTATCCCCCTTTACTGTGAATGCTTCTTGTGCTCTTTGCAGGCTGTCTCACGTGACTTTTGGTCTTTGTGCAGTGCAAACTGCATGCGGGCAGCGGGTCTCGGGTGGGCGGGGTTATGAAGAGGCTGTGATGATGTCTAAAGCGTTGCCATTCCTGTCCCCACTGTGTATACGTTAAATTATGCAGAACAAGGCATCCCATGTAATTGTTAATGTTTTTTTTTATCCTAAGATAATAAAAATATAATACACAAAACAGCAGGGAGACAAGTGTTTGCAATAGTGTCAACACTACATTTAAAGGACAATGGTGATTTGCATGTACTGGAGTTGGCGTCCATCCCTAATAAATGTATGCAATGTTGTCTTTTCTTAAAGAAACCAGCTTTGACGTGTGTCTTCTACGTGAGGTTCCCCCAGTGCTTTGAGTCATGCTCATTACATCACACGGATTATGTAATATTCTCCCTTTGCTGTTGGCAGTCAGAAAAAGAAGAAAAATGCACAAGGAAAATTTTTATTTTGCGATAAGCAGCCAGTGCAGTTGTTTAACGGTTGTTGCTGTCAACTGCTTTTTAAGCGACGCCGCCCGTCGAAACCCGAAGCCAGGCGCTTTGGGAGGTGGGGGAAAAAGGTGCGCTTGATTTAAAAGAGCTGCTGTAATGCAGCCTGTTGCTGGAGCTGCTGTGGGGACGCTACACTTCCTCCTTCAAAGGTCAGCGTTGCGAATAGCGGGTGGGACCGGAGGTAGAGAAGTGACGCAAGGATTATTAATAAAAGCTTGCGTCAAACAAATGAGCGACTCGACCGGGGAAGCGGCGACGTGTTCATTCACTACAACGGCAACAGGTCGCCCTTGTTCACACTTGATGGACAGCCCGATGGCGCGTCGCTGGTTGTTTCCAAGTAACTTCTAAATCTCCCCCCCCCCGAATTGCTTTCATAGCAAACCGACCCCCCCCCCTCACGTGAGCTAAAAAATCAGCCTGACCTCGTGCCGACCCACTGGTGTTGCGAGCAGAGGGGCCGCGGCTGCTGTATAATCAAGGCGCGCTCTGCATGAAATGAGCAGAGGAAGGAAAAGGCCTACCAGCCCGGGAGGAGAGCCAGGAAGCCTCGGGTAGACTGAGCCCCCCCCAATGAAAGAGTAACCAGATTAAGCACCGTGTTGGCGTGATAAGAGCAGAGAGTGAAGAGACCCCTGGTTGAAGCAGGGCCCAAAGTATGAATTAAACTTGTGTGAACTGTTTGTGTCCCGTCCCGCCCCCCTTAATGCAAGCAGTCACATAATCCCCTTCTGCTCTATTGAGACTCGGCTCCTCGCCGTTGATAGAGACATCAAAGTCGTCGGAACGAGACGGGCAGCAGTCAGCAGGGGCCCGGCGGTAATTGGGTGAGCCGAGAAGGAGGGAGAGACTCCGGCGGATTAATAATGAATACGTTGAGCGAGAGGGAGAGCGACGTCTCAGCTCTCTCCGCAGGCAGACGAGACCGAAGAAAGGGGGGGGGGGCGACTTCAGTTGGGCTCAAGCTCGAGAGTCCACATCTTTAGCCTTTGATTGCCCTCCACGTCGCGCGCGCAAACACGGCAGCGTCTGAAATATTAATGTAATCAATACAAAGACTGAGTTGTACGTCTTGGCCTTTTTCCTCTGCATTGACCACAGAGAAATGAATATTTACCCCATGGGGGTCAGAATATTGCACCTTACGTAGCCATATTGTCACTAAGGCAATCCATATCCCAAAAGACGAAGCCAGCGCTGTAGGCCTGCTATACGTGTCCATTCGTTACTACCAGCCAGCCTACGAGGTCTCGATCCAGTCCTACAGTTACGTCAACGCTACGAGATGGGACCACGTTTGCAACAGCGCTCAAAGGTGGCGACATCGGTGGCAGATACGAATTCAAAATTGTGAACGTCGAGTTGAACAACGAGCTTCGTGATTGCCGTGTTTCGAGGAAACGAGGTACGTAGATTACTTCCACTGTTCGTCTGCCTGCCTGGTTGGTGGCTTTGCTGTTCTGGCTCAGTGTCTCATAATATTGCTTCCCCATTAGCATTTATCACGTACAACTCCTCCCATTTTGTTTTTGTGTCTTTTCCGGCGGGCGTGTAGCCTCACAGAGCCTGAGCTTTAACCTACAGAGCAAACATTGAGATTTAGGCAAAGTATTATGACCAAATGAGGGGGTGGGGAGTGCGTGTGTGTGTGTGTGTGTTTGTTGGTGTGTGTGGGGGGGTCAGTCTGGCCTACAAAGACAAGATAAGCCCGAGCTGGTAACCCCATTTCCCTTCCATCTGTTGGAAGCAGTCGTGGAGCAGGGCTGCAGTCACCCAGACCTGGCAACCCATCCCCCAAGCCCCCTTTCTCTGGCTGACTGCACAGCTGTGTTGCGTTTGGATTAGGCCAAGAATAAAACAGGAAGTAGAAATTAAACAAAAGCTTAAACACACACAGAGAGAGAGAGAGAGACTGACTCCCCCCACAAACACACAGGCAGTGTAAGTTACCAAAGACTCCGCAGCACGAGTGACAGCCAGTGGAAAAAGTGCACCCGCCCACACGCCGCAGCACCATCGCACACGCACAAAAATACACTGCAGCCTGAACAAAGTCGTACTCTCTGCCTCCCACAGACGCACATTAAGCCCAACAGAAAAAGGACCACAGGCGCATCGCTTCTCCGTGCCCACACTGGTCTCTGTTTTTTGTTGTTGTTTTGTTTTGTTGTTACATGCTAAGTGCCTGTCGGCCTCTCCTCCCCTCTTCACGGTGGTCTGAGGGAAGCCAGCAGCCACGCTCCATCGCTTCTCCAGGCTGGGGGGGTGGGAGGGGGGGGCGGCGTAACGCTGCAGATGTGGGAGTGCGAGTGTCTGTGGGGGAGATGAAGACCCGAGATGTTACGCCCGTCCACTCGGGTTACGGCGCGGCTGGAGATGCAGAAGGTCTTCAACTTCATGCAGTAAAAATCGATAAATCAATAAATGAGTCCACTACGTCGAGGCTGGAACCCTCAGCCAGCGCTTCTCTGGAGGCCGCTTGGACCAACCTTTAAACAATCCCCACCTTCATCAGCACATAATTGAACACATATTGTGGTCTTGACTCGTCTGAGGTCAAACTTAGCGAATACCTTACGGTCGAAAAGCAGCAAGAGCCTCATATCACCGAAAATAGCACGTGAGGCAAGGTGTTGAATGTTATCACTCTGCTGCAATTGAGCTTTTTAAAGCGTCAACGATCATATCTGCTGTGATCTGGCTTCCAATTTTAGCGAAGCCACTGAGTGTGTGTGGGTGTGTTTTTTTTTTTTTTGTGAGAACGCACACAGGAACTATGGTGATTGAGGAAGTGGAATCGGTAAGAAGAAGGACACGTTTGGAAACATGTGGCCGAGGCCGCATGAAGCAACAGTTTAGCCGGCGAGGTGCAAGTGAATGGAAATCCATTAAAGTGCTTCTCGTGGGACCAAATGTTAACGAATTTACGGTAAATGTTTTCAGATGTTATTTTTACTGTCAAGACTTGAGTCAACTAATGAGTCACACCAGCTCTGTTTTGTTGGTGTCTGTTTGTGTGTGTGTGTGTGTGTTTGTTGACATGGGTGTGCCAGCATGCTTGTCACTCTGTGTGTGTTAATATGGGTCTTCATGAATAAGAGGAGCACATGGAAACACTTACCGTATTGCTGTCGTTGCTGACCCCACCCCTTTCTCAATGCACCCCGCCTACACGCGCGCACACACACACACACACACACACCTACGCAGACACACATTTGTGCTCTCTCTATGTGATCAATGCACATGTGTGTCCATTGTGCTGAATAGAACTCGATATCGAGAGCCGCAGGCTGAAAAAGAAACCACAGAGGGAAGCGTATCAGCGCTACATAGCTCACGTGCACACGCACCGTTCTGCAAGAGGAACAGGTTTGGGAAACCCAGTAGTGGGAAGGGCTTTTGCTGCGGGGCTTCCGGTGCCTTTCCGGGTGTGAAAATGTAAGTTCATACGAAAACCTACGGGGCCGTGTGCTCATCAGGCGTTGCTTTGAAAAGGCCGTGTTCTCCACCTGACTTTTCCCCTGAAGTCTCACAGCCCGACGTAATCCTCCTTATCCCCCCCCCCCCCACACACACACACCCCCTCCCCTCCCCTCCCCACTCTCCTCCCTCTCCCCACCGAGTGTCACCGTGAGGGTAATATGAGGCCCATGGCTGCTGATGACAGTCCCTAATCCTCACGCCTGTGACTGATAGTCACCCGGGCGCTCCTCATCCCCCCGTCTCATCCGTATAAACCGAGAACAAGGGAAGGAGACACCAGCGTGTCCAAGCTTTTTATTCTCTCCCGGCACAGAGTGATTATCGGGAGCGACTGATGGACACGACGGATGTTGGTGTGTTGGGGCTGGGCAGTCACGGAGGCATCCCGGATTTTTTTACCTTTGGTAACCGTCTCTGTATCTTTGTGTCGGCTTTAGGTCTTCGCCTGAGTTGAAGTCAGCCTACGACTGTATTATAGCCAAACACAAAGTGACCTCCTAAAGTCTTCAGTGGTTGCCTAGAGACCACACCAGATACAACCACACTGATTTTGTTTAACCTTTGGACAAAGCCGCGCTGGCTTTATAATGAAAGTAATAAGCGTATTTCCCAAAATGTCAAATCCAAACGTCTCTTTGTCTAATCTACTCTGCATTTCAGAAAAACATTCCCTCCTGTCCCCGAATCTCTGCGGGAAGCTCTATTTCCACCGTGTTGGGCGATGAACATTTCCTGGAGCGTTCATACTTTCATGCAAACAAGTGACACACTTTCCGGAGGCCGAGCGGACGTCAGTCACGGGGGGACGGGTCAGCGCTGTCCGTCCTCTCATTTAGATCCTGCCAGTCAACCAGCCACTCAACCAGCCAGCCAGAGCTTTTTAAAGGGCCTGTGCCCTGACTGAATCCCTTAGGGGGGGTGTGGGGGGTGGGTTGGGGTGGCGGGGGGATTAGGATTAGCAGCTGTTTCCCCTCAAACACTGGAGAAGATACGCCGCAGCTACACCACGCTGATGGCAAATTAATAGATGAATGGAGCGCGCGCGCGTTGTCTCTCAGATAACGCGCTAAACCTCCCCCGCCTCATAAATAGTGGGGAAGGTGTCCTCTACTTGAACCCGGGCTGTGCGGATCTGCTGTCACACTCATAACCGAGGAGCAGGCGGGGAAGCGAAGGCATATTTTGCGGCCGTGAGAAAGGTTTAGAACATCATCACTTTAATCTGGGTGCACAAAGCCAGCAGCAGATTACGCTCCTGCCTCTCAAGCGACTCTGCTGCAGATCCGGTTTAGATGACCCCCGCTAACACCCTCAGAGACAGGGGGCTTT